ACACTTGGATGAAGAATATGCAAAGAAATCAAGATTTGGGAGAACAGTTGTACATGGTGTTTTGATCAATGGACTTATTTCAGCTGTCCTAGGTACAAAAATGCCTGGGCCTGGGTGTATCTTCCTTTCTCAGGAAATTAATTTTCCATCTCCTTTATATGTTGGAGAAGAAGTCTTGGCTTCAGCAGAAGTGAAGAAACTGAAGAGATGTCTTGCTTATATTACAGTGTCATGTACAGTTGTCCAAAGTGGCAAAATTGTCATGGAAGGTATTGTTAAAGTTGTAGTGCCTGAAGATTCCAAACCTGCGATCTGATTGTATGGTGTATCCTATTGGCAGCTGAGGTTATAACAAGATGTCCTTTTAGCTATAATCAGCTAGTTACCTAACTCTGTGAGGAATTTGAAACAGTTTAATTCCAACATTTTGATGTTGGTCTCTGACTTAAAAGATAGCTTTGCCTTTTCTCAGTGTGAGGGTTGTTAGGGAGATAGAATGAGAGTTTCAGAAGAATGCTGAGATAGAAATCAGCATTTAAAATGCCTTGAGTTGCTTAATTTGGATTTATATATTGGACAGATTTAGGGCTTCTCATGTTGAGTTTGACCAGTGACTACATTAGCTCTACATTTTTACCAATAAATAATAAATAATAACTGTCAGCCAGGTGACAGTTTTATACCTTAGGCAGTTGGTGCAATCTATCCTCCTAACATTAACTAGAAGCACATTGTAGATCTGTCCCCTGCTTCCTCCCATGTAGGTCATTTATATAAATATGTTTGATATAATCTGATAAATAAGATTAAGAACTTAATGTGATTTCCTCAGATTCTCTTCCTGAAAAATTCAGTACAAGCCTGGTATTCTCCTTATACAAAGAAACACTTGACTTCTCTGGAATGTTCTTATTCTCAACTACAGTTTTATCTCTGTTTTGTATTAACTTTCCTAAGTGATGATAAAAGAAACTTGTATTGTTGCTCTTAATGACCTGGGTAATTCTATTATGTAATTATACTACTGTTTGCAACCCTTCCACAATACATCTTGGTGGGAACAACCTTAAGAATAAGCCAAAGCAACTAGAGAAGCCCAAACCAGTTTTATTAAACTATAAAATTATAGTGGTCACTGGGTTGCCAGCCAGCAAGATCTAAGAGTGCAGATGTACATCTCCACCCCAGGCCACCCCAACGATGCCCTTGACGTGATGACCCGTTGCCTGGAGGCCGTAAGGGTCTGGATGGGGAGGAACAGACTCAGGCTCAACCCTTCCAAGACCGAGTGGCTGTGGCTGCCGGCGCCGCGGCATAGTCAGCTGACTCCATCGCTGACTATAGGGGGCGAAATTCTGGCCCCCTCGGA